ACACTTTGAACCAACCAGCCCTTCCTCTTCTCTCTCTCATCTCCAGGTCAAGGGGAGTCTATGGAACATGGTTGAACTCAGCCCATTTCTTCATTGCTGCCTTTCCCCCTCTTCCACTCACCACTAGACCAATGTGGTCACCAGCAAACTTATATGCCTGCTCATGTGTTCCCTTTGAGTTTCAGTCTTAGAGGGGAATTTGACCTGAAGAGACTTGATTGCTTGCCTTGATGGCTTTCCGGTGAACAACTTGCTTATTCTTGTAGTAGCCAATCATACTGCCGTTTTTACTTTGGGTTTTTCCTGCTGATCTTTCTTTGAAGATGTATCTTATATTGCTCTCACTATTTTAGGCTGGTCTGCTTGTCCTTTTTAGTGGGAATGTCCCACCTCAGAAGGTTCTGGTTGGGGCTCAGGATACCACCTAAAGTCCTGTATACTGCAAAGGCTCCACAAGAGGCCTATTTCACTGGGCAAGTTCTAGAACCCCTTTTAGGTAGTCCAATTAGTTATAGGCTGAAGCTGGGCTTACAAGCTTTCTGTAATCACGTTTCCTGACATTCCTTTCTATCCCACTCAAATGTCTGTTTTACAATAGTAGGCAAGGAAAAAACCATAAGACAGTTAAAAGACAGTCAAGCATCATAGTATTATTATACCTCTTCAGACTATGCCTCAATCCCTGTATCACAGATCATGCCTTCATCTTGCCTTTTTATTTATTTATTTTGTGACTGTGTAATATTGAAGTTGTTAAAGGATTTCACTTTGCTTGGATCCACAATCCAAAACCCATGGAAGCAGCAGTCAAGAAATCAAATGACATATTGCCTTGGACAAATCTGCTGCAAAAGACCTCTTTTAAAGTGTTAAAGAGCAAAGATGTCACTTTGAGGACTAATAGGCACCTGAAACAGTCATAGTATTTTCAGTTGCTCATATGCATGGGAAGGCTGGCCAGTGAAGAAGGAAGACTGAAGAAGGATTTCATTTGAACTATGGTGTTAGTGAAAAGTATTGAATATGTACTGTGGCCTGCCAGAAGAACAAACCTATGTTGGAAGAAGTACAGTCAGAATGCCCCTTAGAAGGAGGAGTGTTGACAAGTCTTTGTTTCAGTGAAAAAGAAGACAACCTTCAACAAGATGGATTGATTAGCACCGTGGCTGCAATAGTAGGCTCAAATATAACAAACGGACTCGATGGCAGCTAACAGCAACAACAGAGATGATCTGCAGGAAACTGCTTGTGCTTGATCTCCCTGGTAGAGGGTCACCGCTCGCCCAGCCCCCTGTTGGGATACAGTATTGAAACATCATTGCAGTGGTTGTTAAGTTGGTTCCAACTCAGAGGGACCCTGTGTAGGGTTTCCGAGGAACAGCCTGTATGTTTGAATCACAGACCTTGCAGTTAGCAGTCCAATGCATATCCTGAAGTGCTACAGCATGATTTCATATGAAAACATCACTGGCTATTAATTGAGTGAGTGAGTGTTCTCTGGTTTCTGAGGACGAGAAAGGTGTGGCTGGGTGGTAGTTCTGCTCTAACGCAGGGAGCTTTGTCCCTGTCTTGCAGTCCTACCAAGACCTGGTTCAGCGCCTGGAGCCGGTGATCATGGAGCTGGAGCGGCAGGAGAATGTGCTGGTGATTTGCCACCAGGCTGTCCTACGTTGCCTTCTGGCCTACTTTTTAGATAAAAGTGCAGGTATTGTCCATCCTCCATAACTTTCTGTCTGGGGAGCCCAGGAACCCAAGAGGCATCACACTCAAGGAGGGAGGAGGGAAGGTGACTGTTGAAGGGGGGGATATATGTGTACCACATCATTTCCCTCCAAGACACTGTTTCTGTTGATGTGTTGCTGAATGTTAAAAAAAAGTGTGTGTTTTTGACCACCCCACCCACAGAGCCATCTTCTCTGATACAAGGCACCTTGCTAACTCTTTGAGAAACTCTATGCAGAACACAGTTTGTTGGCATAGTGAGTTTGGTGGTAGTTATTTGTCCTGGAGTCAGTCTGAGGCTCTAAGTCTTTACGGGAGCAGAAAGCCTCATCTTTCTCCTGCAGAACATCTGGTAGTTTCGAACTGCTGACCTTGCGGTTTGCAGCTCGATTCGTAACCACTACGCTACCAGAGCTCCTTACAGTGAGTTTAGTAGCATTGAAAATGGAAAGCCATTGGGCTCTATGGCTTTGAGACAAGTAAAGTGGTAAGGATAGACTGTTCTCTTTAACCCCTAGAATATTCTAAAGATGCTATTATATTAGCAGGTAAGTCTTGTGTATGCCTAAGGTTCAATTGAATCCCAAGACATACCTAATTGTTTTCGGAATGTCTTTTTAAAAAAAGGAATCCTGATATTGTGTCAGGGTGAATTATTTTATGTCTTGGTTAGCTATCTTTTTTGGTTTTGTACTGGCAGGATGTATAATGGTCTTTGTGTTGGGGACAGTTTCCCTGTCTGGATCCCCTGTCTGGTTCAGGCTTCTGCAATCATGGGCGTGTCAGAAGGTCCCACTATGGCCTGTGAATGTGGGTGTCTGTCATAAAACCCCCCTACCTGCATGCTCCTATCTCACCTTAGGGCCTTGCACTTGTTTTTCAGAGGAGATGCCTTACCTGAAATGCCCTCTCCACACAGTGCTGAAGCTGACACCTGTTGCTTATGGTAAGCTGCTTATGATAAGATACCCTGGCCTGTGAACTGCACTTGGTGGGGGCCATGGAGCTTTCAGCAGGCCCCGCCCCTTGTTTACATAAGGTGTGCTCTTTTACCCCAGGTTGCCGGGTAGAATCCATCTATTTGAATGTGGAGTCCGTGAGCACACACCGGGAAAGGTCAGAGGTGAGTGTGGACCTCCATGTTTTCATTCCTCAGCATCCCCACCCTGCCCTTCCTCACATGAAGAACTCCTTATACATGTAGCATGAATGAGGTCTTGGTTGAGTTGATTATAAATGCTGACACATGTGCCTTTCACAGCTGGTTCTCAGTATAGTAATTAAAAAAAAAAAATTGTAAGTCAACATTTGCCATGTCAACATTTTCCCACATACCATTCAGTGACACTGAGCGCATCATTATCACACTTTGTCATTAGTGTAATTTGTTGGAAATAGGCCTCCTGACTTTCCTTCTAATCTATATATTCTGTCTGTCTTATGCCTTCGAGGAGTGTTTTCTTTTCTTTTTTTTTGCTTCAGTGTTCTTTCCAGGGCTTTGAACCAGTTCAGATTGTGTTGAATCATAGCTGACAAAATGAAGTCAGAACAGACCTGAATTTTTAAACTGTGGGTGACGTGGAACAATAGGAACAGGAGAAATTATGGGTTGACGTTCTGGAATGGGAGTTTCAGAAGAGGTGTACTGAGCCCTTGCTAGAGTTGTAATGTGGGAGATGGGGTTATTGCCAGTTGGCCACCATCTTTGAGTGGGTTACTGCTGATTCCAACTCTGCCTTTCATGAGATCTGGTTGCTATGCAACGCACATGCTGCCCTTGTTTCCTAAGAGGGAGATTATGTTTCTAGCAGGGCGCTAGCTCATAACTTTTGGTGTTGTATTTACTGTTTTGATTTGAAGCTCTGCCTCTTTTTGATATTTCTAACTGAGAAGTGACTATTAAAAAAGAACATACAATTTCCTCCTTTAAAAGTAATCATAGCACAATTAGTGTAGCCTTTTCCTTCCAGGCAGTTTAAAGTGTATGCTACAAGATTTTGGCATCTCAGGGATGTGAGCTCAGTTTACTCTCATTGCCAGCTGACTGGCTGGCTGAGACGCCGGTCTCTGACTGGTCCTTTCAGATGCAGTATGTAAGGAGTGACCTTGCCGGGGCAGGTGTGACTGGTGCGGGCTCCAGTCTGCTAGCCTCTTGTGCTTTGGTGGGGCCTGAACTTGACTTGCTGCCTCTGTGCTTTGGTGGGGCCTAAACTTGACGTCGGTGACCCCTGAGCATTTCTCTGGAAGAGGTGAGATGCAGACCTGGAGTCAGTCTCGTGGGCCACATGCTGCAGAATGACAAGCTGCAGGACTTTAGGGCCCCCACTCTGCTATTAGGAGGCCGGCCTTCTCTGAAACACGGACCTCACGTTATTTTACAGCTTTTTCAGGAGGGCCCACCCTCAGCCTATAACCCATTAATTACAAGGTTGGTGATTGGACCAGGGCATTCCTGTAGTGCCTGAGTGGTTCCACGTGTCCTCTGCAGAAAGGGAGAGGGTTGGGTCAGTGGGAGAGAAGCTGAGCAGATGTGTCATTTTTTCTTTTCCCCTCCATGATGCCCAGGAGGCTTGCCTCCTGTATTCCTCATCCCAGGTCCCTCTCTTCTTGTACTCCTCCTCCCTGAGCAAGGCTGTTTTCTGGGACCTCATTATCTGTTATCATTGAATAGCTTGTTTGTGTTTAACCAAAGCGGAGACTTTGCACAGGTGGTCTTCTCTCACCTGCTGCATCTTCTATCCATTTGCACTTGTCCCTGTGTGGTCTTTTGGAAAGGATCATGGAAGGAAGTTGTTCCCTTCTCCCTCCACATCCCTGTTCGTGACAGCTGGGGTTCATAGACTTCCCCTGGGCCAGTCTAGTTTACTAGAATCCAGAACCAGAGAACCTTTTTGTTGTTGTTGTTGCTAATTTACCTCCCGCCTCCTTATAACTGTCGCCTTCTCTCTTTTGTCTTTGTCTCGCTTAGGATGCAAAGAAGGGACCTAACCCGCTCATGAGACGCAATAGTGTCACCCCACTAGCCAGCCCTGAGCCCACCAAAAAGCCTCGCATCAACAGCTTTGAGGAGCATGTGGCTTCTACTTCTGCTGCCCTGCCCAACTGCCTGCCCCAGGAGGTGCCCACGCAGCTGTCCGGACAAGTTAGTTGACTCCCTTTTCCTTCTTTGCAGTCTCGTCGCCTGCCTGTGGGTGGGGAGAAGAGCACCTTGTGGGGTGCAGTGGTGGTCTCTGACACTGGGGAATGTGTGTGAGTGTGTGTGTGTGTGTGTGTGTGTGTGTGCGCGCGGGCTGGGGTAGGGGAGAGAATAGGAGAACTTTCCTTTGAAGTTTGTGACACTGTGGGGGCCCTTCCTTGCTGGCACTGATTGTGACTGTGTGCATCTCCTCCTTTCTGAGAAACGATCTAGCGGCTGAAGAAACAGTGTTGAAGTGTCTGAGTCCCATTCACACTCTTCACAAATAGTTTTCTGTACATCAGAGCCACTAGGCAGTCTCCAGCCTGCAGTCTCTGTCCCAGCTCTGGGCCCCTGTGTTTCTGTGTGCAGCCTGTGAGGACCTTCTCTGTCCCAGGGCTCTTTCTGAATATTTTTACTTCTCTTCCTCTGGTGTGATTGCTCCCCATTACAGTCAAGCTGAACTAAGAAGGGGTCCAGGGAGCCTGTCCTCTTCCCAGTGAGACCTCTGTGGCCCAGCTCTCAGGACCAGATCACTAGGCCACTTTCTCACATCACAGAAAGCAAAACCTTACAAAATCCCACAAGAAGCAGCTTTTACTTGTTTCTTTAGCTTTGAAGATTTAAGGCTAGAAGATTTGGGCTTCTGAGTGTTAAGATTTGTTTTTCACAAAACTAATCTTTTCCTCAAAGACTGCCAAGAACCTTTTTTTAAAAGATGTAGAAATCCTGGTCACAACTTTTATTTGCTCCTGAAAGAGTCACCCCACCCTACCCCCATGTCCACCTACCAAGCCCACTTTCTATAGAGAACACATTAAATGTCGAATTGTATTTTTTATTCAGCCTTTGAATTCTTCTTAGATTTCTCTCATAGCATACTTCAGCTTGGTGAGGTCTGGAAGTATAATGTGTAGGAGAACAAACTGTGACCTTGGGCAGGTCTTTTAATCTCTTGTTGTTGTTGTTCAGTACCTCTGAGGCCCCGGTTTTCTCATCAGTGGAATGGGGGAATACCGTAAGCACAGGCAGGTGAAATGGGGGCGATTCATGCTGAGTGTCTACTGTGATGCCCCGCACAGACATAGTAAATGCTCTGGAAGGTTAGGTAATAAGTCTGTAGACTAGCTTCTAGTGGTAGCTCTGCCGCTAACACTGCCTGTAAAATTTGAATTGTCAGGTCACTTTTCCTCCTTGGGCCTCAGACTCCTTGTCTTTTAAAATAAGGGGTAGAACTGGGAGATTGTAATAAATAGTATAAAAAATCAGGATGTTTCTTGTGAAAACTGAGAAGAAATAAAAAATGGTGTAAGTAGGACATTCTGTTTTGATGGAAATGTAAGGTCATCTTCAGAAGTTCATGGACCATTGCCATAGATACTTTTGGGGAGACAAGCATGGGTAGGAATGGGTAGGAGTTAGGTGCTGACCAGAGCCCACTGACCTCAGTCATACAGTGCAGAGTGGCAGGTACTTAGTAAGCCCCACCTCCCCATTACTTCAGAGCTGCCCCGGGACTTTGAAAGAACAGTCCTTCTGCAACCTGGAACCCACCCGTTGTCTGTGGGAGGTTTGACAGAGCTGTGCCCCAACAGAATACACCCAGGTCTCCTACAACTTGGCTCCTCCACTGCTCTGTCTCCCTACTGACTTCTTTCTCAACTCTTTTCTCTCTGCAGCCTTTGCTAGGGAAAGCCTGTTTGTAAGTATTTTTCTTTGGATAATTTTGCTCTGCTTGTCCTGCTTTCTTCTTGCTTGCCAATTTGGACTCCTTCCTGTTCAAACACAGAGGCTAATGATGGTTCTTGTGAAGTCTGACGTCTTCCGCGGGGGGAGGAGAGGCAGAGAATCCACGACTTCTTAGAAAAGGACATGCAAGAAGGAATTGTGTTCCAGCTGTTTATCCCTGTGTTCTGATGCTGCTCCCTCTTCTCTTCCTCTCACTCCTTCGGAGTGCTGGGTGGCTGTTTGCAGTTGGAATGGTGTGTGGCTAGACATATATCCAGTTTTTCCTTCTTAGAGTCAAATTGTGGGGACAGACTAGCTCTGTACTTGTTACCATTGTTGTTCAAGTTCCTTTCTCCTCCCCTAGTAGAACTCTCATTTTATTATCAAAGGGGAATTTACCCACAGCCTAATCTGTAAAATAGATAGAGACGTACTCGGAGATAGTGTGGGTTCAGTTCCAGAGCCCCACAATGAAGTAAAGATGACTATGGAGTGAGCCACGTGGCATTTTCTGTTTTGTTCCTAGTGCATATGTAAGTTAAGTTTGCACTGTACTCTAGTCTGTTAAGTGTACAATATTAACATGATGAATAAATTTTGAAATGTGAGGATTACCAAAATGTGACACAAGTACCGTAAAACGAGGTATGCCTGCATTCAGACAGACCCTGGCAGGGAGTGTGTTATAGATCTGGGACTCTGCAACGTCTTCCTCCCTGTCCTGCTGGTGACCCCAGAAGGTTCCATTACTCCTCCAGCATTGGAAGGTTCCCTGTGGAAACCACATCTCCTGGATGGGGCTGTCTTGTATCTGAATCTGCTCAACCTTCATAGTCGTGTCCAGGGTTAGGTGCAGGTTTCAGATAGACCCAGTGGGTGTCACCCTTTCTTCAGCCAGTGCTCTCTGGCGGCAGTGTCTGGCTAAGTACTAGGTGTAGCAGCCACTGCATGGCTCCCTGTTTCCATTGTTCCAATGACCCCCAACCAGAGACAGCAACAAGGCCTACACAGAACAGCGCTTTAGTAAACAGCCACCGTAAATGGTCACTCACCCACCTACCCGTCATTCCTACCTTGTTGTTCCCTTTTTGCTCATTAAGTTGTCTTGGCTGATTGATCCTGAAGCAGACAAGGTTTGATAGTTGAGTCTGAGGGGCGGTGAGCATCATGCTTAGCCTGTGGTATTGTTGTTAACTGCCACCCAGTCGGTTCAGACTTATAGCGACCCTGTAGAGGGTTTCTGAGGAGCAATTGGTGAATTTGAACTGCTGCACTTGAAATTCAAAAGACTGCGTAGTCCAGTGCTTGCCCTACAGTACCATCAAAAAACCAATGCCATGAAGTCAATTCTAATTCACGGCAACCCCGTGAGTTTCAAGGATAAAGCTGTGCTCCATGGGGTTTTCAGAAGCTGACTTTTTGGAAATAAATTGTGAGACATTTCTTCCAAAGCACCTCTGGGCGGACTCAAACCTCTAACCTTTCAATAGCAGCTGAGCGTTTGCACCTCCAGGGGCAGCCTCAGTGTAGCTGCTGTAGTCCGCAGTCCTGGCACACACACCTGCTGGCTTTGGACCTTAAAATGAATTTCGGAGGTTGGCAGGGCAGGCACTCTCTGTTTAGTCGATGAGGGCTAAGGTTGTGTGCTGGGCCCACACTCATCCAGCTACCAAGTAGCAGACCCGTGACTTGAATGAGCCTCCTAATTCAGACAGCTGGCTTCTTTCTCTCTCTACCAGTTTCTGGGTACAAAGTACAGTTTCCTTGCCTTTCTCCAGAGGTACCTAATGTTTGTAGCTCATGGGACACAGTCCCCAGAGCTGTTTGACTTACTGTTCATCCCCACACCTGCTGACTTTCAGCTGCTTACTATGACAAAATTTTGTTTACTTAATGGTGCACCTTCTTCATAACTTACATCTTTACAGAATAAGAGATCTTCACAGTCCATGGTCTGTTAACCACCTTAAAGCTATGATTTATACATGGGATATTTTAGAATCCAGGGTTCACCTTGTATGAGGACCAGCCCTTCAATTTGGACCCTATGACTTTGCAGCTATGAATGTCCCATTCCTGCTACTATTATGCCTGGTGTTGCCAGGAAAGGAATCTTCCCACTGGGAGGTACTTAACTATTTGTGGTATATCCCCAGCTCTTCTAAAGTTGAACTTTCCTATTTTTAAAATTAGTAGTACCTTTGGCTAAAATCCTTCCACTCAGCAATAACATACTGAGTGTGGTGCTCCTAGTGTGGTGCTATAGGATAAGCACTGGACTGCGAACCACAAGGTCAGCAGTTCAAACCCACCTACTGTTCCACAGAAACCCTATGCAGGACCACTAGACGTCAGAATCGACTTGATGCACTTAACAACAACATGGCGCCTGCTGCTTCTGACTCTTCTGTGGAATCTCATGTCCAGCCCAGCAGGGAACATGTTTGGAGGTGCACACTGTCAGGACTGTAGACACATGTGATTCTAGGAACTGACCTGGATACCAGGACCAGCCCAGCAGGGAACATGTTTGGAGGTGCACACTGTCAGGACTGTAGACACATGTGATTCTAGGAACTGACCTGGATACCAGGACCAAGCTGGTTAAAGTCAAAGCTACTGGGCTTCATTCGTTTTGGTTCTACTACCTCCTATCTTTGGAGCTCTGTGCAAGTTTACGTAATTCTAAAGCTTGGTTTCCTCATCTGTAACAGGGAGGTGTAATGTAGCTTTATAAAGTGGAATGGTAATGAATATCGGTCTAGCACTCAGCAGTATCTGGCACATAGTGCCTGATGGGGGGTGAGGAACTTGGTGCCCCTGTGGCTCAGTGGACACACCCTGGTATCTCTTGGTTTGGGCCACAGCAGTCTGCAGTTTGGGGTTCTACTGTGTCTTCTGCAACAAGCTGGTTGGTTTCTCTCTAGCACCCAATTATGGACTGGGAACAACCCCTGGAGTCATCAGGGCTGTAGCCAGGCTGTCCATAGTTTGTTGCCATAGTTTCACTTCCTGATAAAATGGGAACAGCAAACAACCAAGGGCACAGTGCACTGACCTTTCTTACCAGGGCTGCACTGGCTGCTTAGGGACACAGAAACCCTCCAGCATTCACCTCTCACACTTTTTGTTTTTAATTTCAAATGCACACTAAAAAGAAGAATGACTAAAGATGTTTTGTTTTGTTCTTTCTTTTCCAACCTTTTCCCCCCTTCCCCGCCTCTCCCCTGCTATGCTTGAAAGACGAACAGTCTGTCACATTTTCTCAAAGTTTTCTCCTTACTAACCCTTGGAAAGGTAAATGACTCGGTGCATGCCCCTCTTCACTGCATCCTTCTGACTCCCGGCATCTCAGCTCTCTCTTGGGCACCTTGCACTGTGTGGAGATTGCCCATTGTGAAGTGTGTGGCTCGTACGTCTCAGTGCCAGACACCTTTTCTGGAAGTAACACCACTGTCCTGTGGTCCTCTCTACCTTTCCCTCTCTCCGGACTGTCTGTCTTCCCCATCTGTGTGTTCCGAGCCAGGGCCATTGTGAATGAGTGCAGTGGACCTTGCCTGTCTGTGGTCCTCCGCTGTCAGTGTTGCATCGCCATCATTTGTGGGTGTTGGAAGCCATGTGGCCTGGCTGGTGATGTACGAGGGCAGGTTGATGTCAGAAGCCGTCGAGAGCACAACATACTCCCCAATTCCAGAAGGTGGCTGTGGTGCTCTCCAGGAACCCGCCCTGCTCACAGAGGAGCTCTAACTTGGTGGTGGTTCGAGGACCAGGTCCCCTGAGTTCCTGAGTCTGTGTAAGGGCAGACTCAGAGACGTCTTGGTGCTGTCCCACTCCTGAGGTCCTCTTATCTAAGAGACTTCTCCAACCCCATGCCATCCATCCTGCCAGGTGGAGAAGAGTCTTGGTGGAGGCACTCAGCATCTGAGGTGTTTCTAAAACCAATGTCTGAGGGGGCTTCCAAAAGTTGGTGGGAAAGTTCCATGATCTTTTCATTCCATTTTCCACAGACGATTCGAAGCCCCCTGCTGCATTTCTCTTCTCGAGAGGTAGATAGGGGTAGTCTGGTACAGACCCCGCTATAAGGTCAGCGGTTCGAAACTACCAGCCGCTCCGCGGGAGAAAGATGAGGCTTTCTACTCCCGTAAAGATTTACACCCTCGGAAACCCTGTACAGGGTCGCTATGGGTCGGAACCGACTCGACGGCACTTAACAACAACAACAACAACTGTGCAGTGAGAGCAATCATCTGTCACCAGTGGATTCAGTTTTCCTGTGAAGGGAGTTTAGATTCTGGTCAGTTTCTTAGGGGTGTTGTTGTTGTTAAGTGCCATAGAGTCAGTTCTGACTCATGGCAAAGCCTGTATAGGGTTTCCCAGGAGCAACTGCTGGGCTTGAACCCACCACACCAGGACTCCTTCTTAGGGGTGGAGCTTCCTATTCAGAGCACTTTTCTCAGAACAAGAACAGGAGCTTTACCGATACCTGCCTTCTCTGCTGTGGCACCTCAGGAGACCCCACTCCCCGTCATGGGGCCTCTCCCTGCTGTGTCCACCCACCCAAGTATCAGGATGTTTTTATTCACGAGGCTGGCGTTCTTAGAATTTGGATTCCAAGAGCTGCAACATGTGGCTCTACTTTTAGTGAGCTTGGGAGGAGAATAAACCCCCAAAACTACACCTACTGCTGTGAGTCAATTCTAACTCATAGCAAACCCTATAGGACAGTAGAAATGCTACTGCCTTGGGTTTCCAAGACTGTAAACCTTTTTGACAGCGGACAGCTACATCCGTCCTCCCTTGGAGTGTTTGTGGATTTGAACTGCTGACCTTGCAGTTAGCAGTCCAATGCTTAGCAAACTGCACCACCAGGGCTCTTAGGAGAGGAATACAAATGTATATTTAGAAGACCCCTAGCTCACCCACTTTTTGGCTATGGCCAGGGAGAGATCACTGTGTGAGGTGGAGAGGACTTTGAGGATGAGGTTCCCTTAGTCCCAGCACCCAGTTCATGCCGGCGTACTGTTCTTCCCATAACAGCTGCTGGCTGGGAATTGGTGACCTTCCTCTACCTGCCTCCCTCACCTCACCACACAGCCTGTGCCCAGCCCCCTTCTCCTGGTGTGACTGATGGTTAGCTCCTGGGACCTCCCCTGGGCTCTCTTCAGCCTCTTTGGTTATCATTTCAGGGGTTGTGTTCTTGTGTGGGTCTGATGGGTGTGGAGGCAGAAAGAATTCTCAGTGGCTTGTTTTTTGAGTCTTCCTTTTGAGTAACAATGTTGACAATAAATAATAAGTCCTGTCTCCCCTCCCCCCTTCCTTTTTTCCTCAAAACAGAACTTGAAAGGTTCCCAGAGCGGCATAGACACTTCCTCCAGGGGACACTGAAGCAGATGAATCCAGTTCCATCCCGTTTCTATTTCTGAAGCTTATCCTGTTCTTTCATCCGCCTGAGGCTCCAACGCTCCTGTGACTGGATGGAGGTGGTAGAGTAGGAGGGGTCTGCAGGTGGAAGAGAACCCGTGCCTCTAGCAAGCATTGGGGTCCCGGGCACTAGGAGGCCTTTCCTGTGTGCAGAACCCATTGCTTCATATGTTGCTCTGCAGACCACCCTCCTCTGCCCCCTCTAGTCTTTCAGGGATATTTGGCTTTGGGAGATTTCCAGGAGGCTTGGAGAGGAGGATGAATGGTTGACAGCCGAGATGCCAGAAAACCTGAGGAAGGACTGTCGGGCGCCGCTTCTCCTCTGTTCTGTTTTGATTGATCTTGGCCTGGCATATTCACAGCTCAGAAGAGGACACTGTTAGCTGAATCCAAAAACAAAGGGAGAGCTAGATGTTGTTTGCTGAAGTTTAAGGGATGTTTAGAAATGTTTGCATGGCTGTTTCGGAGCCTCGTGGCCTGAAAAGATGCCTCATAGAGACTGGACTTGGGCATGTGGTGATTTGCAGCCCTGGAAAGACTTGAATATGTCGCAATGATTGCTTTTTTCCAGAGAAACCTGGGAGGTGTGAGACTTGCTTTTCAGCTGAGTGGGTGACATGCCAGTGCTTCTTCCACATATGCACATACCTCCCAGGTCTGCATTTGGCCTCTGAAGATGAACTGTGCTGAACTGTGCTAACTCGGGCAGGCTTCGCTCTCACAGGGGGCTGGAGGCACCCAACAATGTCTCTCTCCTGGAGCTGCTTGCTTTTGCACTTTGTTAGGAAAGTTGTGGACGAGAAAGTTGCACTTTAAGGAAATGTAGGTTAGGGTTATATATCCTTGGGGGCTTTAAGTCTCTGAAAGAACATGGGGAAATTAGGCATGCCCTTGCGATGGGGCACCTCAGAGAGACCCTAGTAAATTGACCAGGGATCAAGCCTTCGAATGGTCCCAACACTGCCTCTGGAAGCTGGCATGAAACACAAGGATCATCTGGCTTCCTCTCTCCAAGACTTTCCTAACTGCCATGTCTCCCAGGTGGTGACAGTGGTCCAGGCACACCCTAATTTGATGCCACTTGCCCCGAGTGACTGCCAGCCATCTCCCATCAGGATTGAGCTTAGTTCGATACGTTTTTGTTGTGTCTCTGCTTTGTATCTACCTAGCTTTCTGCTGTGTGCTGTGGGGAATAAAACGTCATGCGTATCTTGCCTTCCTAGCACCTGTGATACTGGGGGGCAGAGGGGACAGGAAGGGTCAAAACAGGGCTGTGTTGAACACAGGGTCCTGCCAATTGGTATTTCCTTGTTTCCTCCAAGTACTGGGGTCGTCGGAGTAGTGTCTCAAGGCCCAGGAGAAACAACCTGAAAACTTAACAGTAGAGTTTGTTAAAAAGACCCTTCTAAGGATCTGTAGAAACTGGTGCCAAAGGTCACTTTTCTTTCCCGGCTTCTGCCTTTGAGCCTTTACAAGGGAACGTTCCTGGGGGTGAGAGAACCTGAAGCTGGGAGGAGCTCTTTAATGCACTTTCCCATCCAGGGAGATGGGGACAGGCTCAGATGCCCTACAACACCGATCCATTTAACTATTCCCCACCTCTACCCTCATTTAATTGGCTGTCTGCCTGAGAGGATGTCTATAAAAATATTCTGTCCGATTTAAGACTTTAATTCTAGTCCCCCTTTCCCACCGTCCTGAGTATTTGTCAGACACTGTGTGTGTGAGAGAGAGTGTGTGTATGCGGGCAGGTTAGTCATATTTTTAGATATGAAGGGCCTGCAACTTTGCTCTTGAGAATGGTTTTCTTATGTCCCACTTTCTGGCAAGAATGGCCTCATTTCTGTTTCTAGTTGTCAAAGCAAATCCTATGAATTTTAATTCTTATATGAGTACAAGTGGGGGCTTTGCGGGGTGAGTTTTCCCCTCCTCTCAGATGATCTAAATACACAAAGAAATAAGGCTTTGCCTCTCATGCAACTTTAATTGGAGAAGGGTCTAGCGGAGATGGAAAGGGATAGAACATGCACTGGAGGGGAGATCTTGGAGAGAAATTGAGTGTTGCTTAACTTGAGAGCTGGTGATCTGACCTTTGAGGAGGCATTAGAGGGAGCATATGTTTAAACTGCATTCATGAAGCGTCTGCTGAGATATAGGCCCTCGCTTCCCTCCCCACCAAAAAACAAAAAACTGGGACCAATCTTTTAAACTTTGCATATTTGCTTTTGGAGTTCCTTCCTTCCTTAGTCTTTCCTGAGAGTATAACCGTGGGCAAAGCCCGTCATATGGGAGAAGGAAAACAGTTGAATCACACCAATGATGTTTTTCATCTATAATACTTGAAACTTATTTTTTTATTATTTTGATAGCAGATGTGCTATTTATTTATTTAATATGTAAGGGAACCTGGAAATAGAAAGCTGTATATAGAATGGGTTTAGTTCTTCATTGGTTTGGGGGCCTTTTATGTGTGACTTATGACTTATCTATGTTCTGTATAATTGTCTGAATTAATTACCTGGAATGAAGCTATTATAGCTTTCAAACAGGGAATGCCTTTGAGAAATTTGTATATTTTGCAATTGCCAGACCAATAAAATACCTGGTTGAGATATACTGATGAAGAATGCTTCGGGTCCTTTCTTGGGGAGGCGGGGGGACGGGGAAGGTGGTGAGAAGAGTCTATAGTTGACATTTATGGCTCACTTGTCAAACTCTGCCACGTAGTTCTTGACTTTTCCACTTTGCATTTTCCTCTAAGCACGCTGTTCTGATACAAATGGTCTAGTACCTGTGTTTGGGAAATAATACATGTCAGTTTTTATATTCCTCCTTCCGTATAGCCTGTTCCACTAGATCTTTAAA